GCCGAGCGGCTCCGGTTGGCGCGACACGCGATACGTTTCGTTGCCGCGGGAAATTGGTATCGTTACGTTCGATAGATTAACGATACGCAATCGCAAATTGTTTACCTTCAAGCTCGTGCGACACGTGCTGCAATTATGCGCTCGTCGTTTTTCCCAGTCGCATGAAATTCGCGGAAATAGAACGGCGCGCTTGCTCGACACGACAAAACCGATGGTCTATAAATATGAAAATCCTCGCGAATGTTCGAATATTTGGACACTTGAACTCTGGAATTACGAGTCGGTGACGCTCGTTATTTTTGCTTCCGTCGATAGTAAAATCTATATTTGTCGGGTAGTCGAGTGAGAGAGAAAGAGCGAGAGAGAGAGAGAGAGAGAGAGAGAGAGAGAGAGAGAGAGAGAGAGTCTCTCTTTTTAAGTCGCCTCAAAGCGGACGCAAGACCCGCGGATTCTCATCGTATATTTAATGCTAAACGTGCGACTTTAAGTTACACCCGCTTAATACGAAAATAGCACGGCAGTGTATTCGAAATAAAAAGGAAGAGGGGAAGGGGACAGAGGGAGGCAGAGAGAAAAAAATCGTAATGAGCAAACGAGTAAAACGAGGTTTATCTTACTTCTTCTTCGGGCTCTCGTAATTATCCGTTATGCAATAACGCGGTAATGGTTCGCGTCGTTCTTAACGCCTCCTTTATTCCCGGGTATACTCCGACCACCGAAGTTCCCAGGCTCGTCTGCGTCGCGTTTCGTATAATGCGCGAAACGTTCGGACGCACGCTATTATTTAAATTAATTACACCTATCTCTATCCGAATTTAATTAAAGGCGCGCGAGTTCCCCCGGTGAGACAAAGGGAGTTTGGAGCGCGCGTGTGCGTTGCGCGCTCGGCGCAATCGTCGGGAGTCGATTTCGCAAAGCTTCGCTCGGACGGGAAATCGGCGAGAGAGACCGACCGGCTTGGAACGACACTTTTCAAACATCGTCGACTCAACGAGTTTAGTAAACAAGTTTCGCGACAAATAACGGCCGAGCTGTTGCGAGCGGAACATCCATCGATTTGCGCGATGTCTCCAGGTGAAGGTCGAGCGCGAGTGTTTCGCGCGTCTCTCGGAGATTCGACGAGCGACGATTGTGACATTTTTACGGGAGACAATAGAGAATTCGAGAACAAAAGCGCGTGTTTCTTCTCTGACCGCTCGTTGTCACGACCCAACGACTTCGCCCTCACGTCTCACACCCATTTCGCGTCCCATCAGGCACACGGGGGTATACGCGGGAACGGCGAAATTCCACGCTGCGGAATTCGGCGAGGGAGGACGAGGGAGGGCGCGGGCGAGGAGGAGAAGGAGGTCGGAGTGCTGTCGGAACGGGCCTCATTCGCGTGCGGGATTAAAATTCGAGTCCCACGGTATATACACGGTAGTCTTGCGTTCTCAGACACGACCGTGTTCGGATCCTTTCACGTAAGGACGAGAGAGGCGCGTTTAAGCGCTTCGCGGAACCCTTTTTTTCGTTCCTCCCCCAGAGCGTCACGCACGGCGTATATGGTACGGCCGCGGGTGAACGATGACGCGCACGTCGAATCTTTTGTGAAATAGCGGATCTATGGGAAGAGCGCGTTCGCGCGACCTTCGGGAGGGATCTCGGGCTGCCTGGCGAAGGATCGACGGGACCAGCAGAAGGACGTGTCTCGCGAGACTGGCGATTTCCGAAATTTCCGAATTCGCGGAATCTCGCCCTTCGCTCCGTTATTTTCTTCTCTTAATCGCGAGTTCTCTCAGTCGCCGTGGTAAAGTGAAGCGCGGAAACGGGATCTCAACAGGGTGGAACATCACAATGTCGCAACAATTGGGATCGACCCGCGGACTCCTGCAGACGCTCTCTCGTACGCGTCTCGATCTCGAGTGTTTAAAGCGTGCGCGGCCGCGCACAGCGCGAAGGCGCTCGGTAACTCTCGATGGTGCACGGCACTTTCGCGGTTTTGTCGCGAGCGTGTGAGCGCGGATTGCCCGGTGATCGATGAGAGAAAACGGACACGCGCAAAGAACGTGGCGTGGCGAATCCGCATGGTACGACAACAAGCGCGTAAAAATCTGAAAATTGCATACGCGACGCAGCGCGCGGACGATGAGGCGAGCGAGCGACATTCCAGAACGCGAGCGCCGAAGGAGAAACGTCGCGCGCGCTCGCGCGCCGGATAGCATGAGAAACGGTGTGACATTACGTTACACCGGCGCCTCATCAAACGATAATCTATGCGATCTACAAGAGAAATAATATGCGGCGCGACGTCACAGCTGTCGACGCCGCGTGAAGTTTGATTGCCGCGAGCGGAATGAAAAATTGCAAAATTACACTTCGCGACGTAACGGTACGTCAAACATTATTCATTTTTTCCCCTCTCCTTCCCCCCCCCTCTCTCTCTCTTTCTCTCTCTCTCTCTCTACCCATATGGTTTCGATTATCCTCGATCAGCTGTTTGGATATCATTGACTATGCGCTCGTCCGCGCGTCTCTTGGCACTTCTGAAAAAAATAAATTTTTATTCATCTTCTCTCTCTCTCTCTCTCTCTCTCTCTTTATATATATATATTTTTCTATTGTCCAAAACATCCAATTGATCTTCGAGTTTGCGACATCGTACGTTGCACTTGTCGTACACACGCATGCACCATAATACCATGAGTGAAACACACTTCGGACCGATTCAGATTGATCCGTAGACTTGGATCGACGTTATGTTGTCTCTTCCTCTCTCTCTCTCTCTCTCTCTCTCTCTCTCTCGCTCTCTCACTCTCTCACTCTCTCACTCTAATCCCGCTCCATATTGGATATGGAGCCAAATTTGCGAAGACTTTGTATACAAATGCACACCGATAACTGTGTTTATTCCGCAAAAAAGGGAATGAGGCAGCGGGAGGGGTCAGCGGGATACTTTACAAATATAGATCGGCGAGATCGGGGTGCTCCATGACGGCGCGGCACGCCGCGCCGAATCGATTCTATCAAAGAGAACAAAAACTCCTCATGGCAGCGCCTATTATATATATATCTTGCGGCGCGATCGCGCCGGCATTCGTCGGGCGTTCTTTATTTTTGCGGTTGGCCCGGGGCGAAAAATAACGACGTCGTTCCCGCGATCGGATCCGGAGTGGCGGCGGTCACGAGTGTCCGCGGCGAGACCTCGGCGCGCGAGTGTCTCTCTCTCTCTCTCTCTTTCTCTCTCCTCTCTCGGCCGTGTGCGTGCACGATATACGGGCGGCGCGTGCACGCGCTTAGAGAAATATACACGGGACGCGAAAAGCGTCGCGGCGCTGGGCGACCTGCGTTACGTCGAGGTCCGCCGGAATGCGTAAATATACAACCACGCGAGGCGGAGAGGAGAAAGAGACGGCACCGGCCGGCCGAGCGCGCGAGCGAGCGAGCGAGCGACGGAGCGACGGAGCGACGGACAGAGGCTTGCGCCGTCGCTCCACATACGCGGCCACCCTGAATTTATAAGAAGCCGTGACTCCACCCGCGGCGTGCGATACGTGACGTCCGTGTGCGGGACGAAGTCGAAAGCGTATCGCCAGATTTACGCTCTCCTCTCTCGGCAGGATACGTATCTCATCGGGAGAGACGTCAAGGCGCGAGCGCGCGCGACTTGCGTTGGCGGCTCGTCGCCGCCGCGCAAAGAGGAGACGAGGCGACCGCGTGACGTGAGACGGAGTCTCGCGACAAAGACGACGAGAACGTCCGGTGTTCCGTAACACGCTTCGGCAGAAACGTTAGACGTTCCGTCAGCCGCCGGACATGAGACGGATTGAAGAGACGAGTGAGCGGTCACACGTTCGCGCGCGTGCGGGAGTGTCGTCCCGCGGTGTATATCACGCGGCGACTTACGACGGCGATGGTGATGACCGCGGCTTTTCTTTTTTTAGACGCTCCGTTGTCGCGGCGAATAAATCGCGAGTATCGTTCCTTGCTCTCTTGCTCTAACACTGGAGACTGCGTATTTGTCGTCCCGCTCGATATCGTCCCCGTTATGATTCGCTCGTCTTCTCGCGCCTTACGAGAAACGAGTCGACCGCGGTGAGATGCGCGTCTGCCATCACTTCGGTCATCACGGGATGAGATTATTCATATCACCGTGCGATGACAAATCGCGCGGAGACCCGATCACAAAAAGTGGGTCCTTAATAGCGTCTATGAGAGAAAGACGGATCGCGGGTACGTATCCGGCAAGATGCAAGGTTGAATCTTTAACGCGTTTAAGTGCAATCTCGTCGCTAACAGGCGAAGCAGAACTAATTACCCGCTCCATTAAGCGTCATCAATCAATCTTTTTTATTTATCAGCCGCTTTTTGCGCGCACCATTTCACAAAAGTAACGGAACGGGACAGGCACGGGACGGCGCACGACTGACCTTCTGCGATTGACAATCTAGGAAGCGTTCTTTTTCTTTCTCTTATAATTGCGGCCGAATGAACATGTAAACGCGCACCTCTGTCCACCACCTCCGCGTCGTCGGCGATTACGCACATCGATTTCACGACGTGATATCCTCGCGAGCGCGTGACGCGCGCGCGTGTTTGCATCATTTCCCGCGTCGATTAGCAAACGCCACGTGATCGCGCCGTCGAGGCGTTTACAATCGCGACAGAAGAAGAAGAAGAAGAGATCATTCGTCTTGCCGTCGTACGATATTGAGTTCGGGAAGCTTCGCTTCAATTATGCCGTTTCGACGGCGATTTGTCATCGCATGCGTACGATGCGCCTGTGCCAATCTGCAAAGCCCATCAGGGTTGAACAATCGCACATACTTGTTGCATATTTTGTTACTGTCGCGAGTCGCATTTTCTTATTTTCAGTTATAATAACGACTCTCTTACTCTCCTTCGTAACGAAAATTTTCACAAGTCCCCGCGTTACTCCCTGCGAAACGAGACGTTCCCGGAAATACGAATAATAAGATGACTTGGCCGCGCTTAGAAGCAACCCTCCCTTCTGTTCGCAGGACTCGCAGAACGGCCCGGTGCTGGACCGATGGAGTATCTGCTCGGCTGAGGAGGAGCCGCTGGTCCTGCAGCAGTTCCTCAGATTCGCCGAGACGCGTCCGTTTGTGCAGCAGCTGCTGCTGGCCGCCGGAACGCCGGGTACGGATGCTATGTCACCAAGCAGACGACCTTCGCCACCGACGATGCCACTAGCACACTTACCACCGCCGTTGCATATGCTCCACTGCGGCCTACCACCGCCGGGCTCCCGGTTGCCACCCCCGTTGCCACCTCCGCCGCCGCCGCCGCCGCCGCCGCCACCGCCGCCGCCGCCGCCGCCGCCGCCGCCGCCATCGTCGATCTCGCACCCGTCGATGTCGCCGACGGCGCCGAAGCACTATTCCTCGGCGACGAGCGGCAATCCCGCCGGCATCACCAGCCGGGCGAACTCACCACCGCGCAGCTTGGACTCGCACTTAACGGTGTCGCCGTTGAACCGGCTGCAGAGCATGCAACCGTTCGACTTCCGGAAGCTCGGCACCCTCGGCTTGCCGACGTTTCCGCCGTTACCGCCGCCGCCACCGTCTGCGGAGCAGCTTCTGCAGAGCCGCAAGTCCATGAGGAACCCCCAAAGCCCGCACAGTCCGCCGCACCACTCATCCGCGGCGTCGCAGCTGCACAGGCCGCATATGCCGGTCGCGCCGGTCTCCACGTCGGCCTTGACCTTCGGACACCCGCTGTCGGTGGCGGTGTCGTCCAGCGCGTTACCGCCGAGCTTCCCCACGCACTTCCCACCACCCCCGTTAGGCAAATCACCTGGCGGCGGGGTCTGCGGTGGCATCAGCGCTGGCCTGACCGTACCGGTGGATGTGCACAGCGGCGGCGAGAGGAGCAGCGAGTTCGGCTCGGAAGAAGACGAGGACGACGACGAGAACTCTGACAGCGTGCTGAACCTCAGCAGACGGGACTCGTTGTCGAAGCACGGCGGCATAGGCGACCGGCACCCGCCGTTATCGTTGCAAGCGGCACCGTTGGGCAGGCCACCTGGTATCCCAGGTAGGAAACCTCATTCGCCGGGCAAGCGACCGGGCGGCCAATGGGGCGCGGCCGCGAACTTGCCGCCGAACCTCGGCACCCCCTTCATCAACCCCACTACCGGCAAGAAGCGGGTGCAGTGCAACGTATGCCTGAAGACCTTCTGCGACAAGGGCGCGCTCAAGATCCACTTCAGCGCGGTGCACCTGCGCGAGATGCACCAGTGCACCGTGAAGGGCTGCAGCATGATGTTCAGCTCGCGCAGGTCGCGCAATCGCCACAGCGCCAACCCGAACCCGAAGTTACACTCACCGCACCTGCGCCGCAAGATCTCGCCGCACGACGGCCGCTCGTCGATGGCGCACGCCCTGGTGCTGCCGCCGCAGGTAGGACTCCCGGTGCCAGCCACCGGCTTGAATCACCTGCCGTTCGGCTCGTTTCCGTTGCTCACTCCGCCGCCGGACCTCCGTTCGCCGGCCTCCCTGTGCGCGTTGGACTTCAAGCACTTGGACCTGTCGTCCACTCCGGGCCCGGGCAGACCGTACGACGAGGCGTTGCAGCAGCGGATGTCGGCGAACGTCAGTCTGTCGACGACCACCGGCTCGACGACGATACCGGTGGCGGCGTTGTCGACCGCGGCGGCGGCAGCCACCACCACGACCACGACGGCGAGAGGCTCGTATTCGGGCGGCGGTGTCGGAGGCGGCAGTGGCGGCGGCGGCGGCGGCGGCGGCGGCGGTGGCGGTACTGCTCTGGGTGCCGTTTCGCCGTCTACCCAAGCGTCGTCGATGATACCGGAGGGTGAAGAGGACGATGACGACGACGACGGTGGGATTGTGGTGGTCGCGGAGGACGAGATCAGCAATTTGCCGTCCAGGTTGCCGTTGCGTGTCGGAAACGACGACGACGAGCAGCCGGCGGACTTCAGTCTAGCGAAACGGCCGAAGCTCTACTTCGGCGACACCGCCGACGAAGACCTCGTCAGCAATCCCGACAGTAACGAAGACAATGACTCGATGGGCACGCTCGATCAGCAGCCTTTCTCCGTGAGCCAACTGTCGCTCAACTCGAGTTCCTTCCATAGCCGGGGCGTGCGCAAGAGGAAGTCTCAGCACCCCACCAGATGCGCCGTGCCGGCCGAGGTGCACTCCTCGTCCACCGACGGCGACTCCTCGAACGACGAAGAGCAACGGATCCAACGGCGGTGTCTGTCGGACAGCGTCGGCGCGACGCCGATGACGTCCGACTTTCAGAACCAGCCGGAGGACATGTCGATGTCCAGGCTCGAGGCTGAAGAACGAAAGATACTGCCTGGCTCGCCGAGGAACCTCAGGGGCGGTTACCAGGATCGCGAGTCGGACTCCCGCTCCCCGGACACCGACAACAGGGAGCGCGATATGGCAACCGCCGGCGGCCGACGCGACACCCTCTCCTCCCAGGACAACGCGGAGGATCTACCTCAAGATGAGCCGCGGGACTTGAGCTCGAGGGCGAGTAGCGTAAAATCGCCGAAACGACAGATCAGCCCGGAACCAAAGAGCGAGAACGCGACGTCGTCGACCGGCATGCCGAGCGCGGCAGCGACGACGACGACGGCGGCGGCGGCGGCGGCGGCGGCGGCGGCGGTAGTGGCGGCGAAGGATCCCGACGTAGTCGCAACCTCGTCGGAACAGAGAGATCGGCGACCGAGCTCGGAGAGCTCGGAGGGTGAAACGACGAGGTTGAAGGAAGAGAGGAGTGCAAAGAGAGAGTTCAGCGAGACGACGACGGCGACGACGACGACGACAACGACGATGAATACAACGATGACAACGACGACGACGACGACGACGACGACGACGATGACGACGACGACGATGACGACGGAGAAGGAGAAGGCGGCGAACGCCGCCGACGAGGAGAACCAGAAGGACGAGGAGGACGACGATGATGAGCCCATGGAGGAGGTCGAGGAGGAGGATGATGATGATGAGGAGGAGGTGGACGACGCGCTGCGCAATCAGGAAGGTGAGCGTCCCGATGATCCCCCCCGTGCCCCGAGCTCGGTCGACAGCCGTCCGACGACAGCCGACGACCTCTCCCACGACTCCTCGACCAACACTTTGCGTCAACTCGAGTCCTTGTCGCAGGGTCAATGCGCGATGCCGTACGCCGAGACGCAGCTGGTGGCTTCGAGGTCTGGCCGCGGCTCTACCAGCCCTATCAGCCTCACGACCCACCAGGAGACCACCATGGACAACTCCTCACATGGCTCTCGTTCATCCAGCGCCTCACCCTCCACAGCGGCCATGGATACGGACAATAGCCTGATCACGTACGCGCGCTACGAGAACGGCGGCTTCGTCAGCACCCAGGAGGTGCCGCTAGACCGTGACAACCCGCGTCGCTGCACCGCCTGCGGCAAGGTCTTTCAGAATCACTTTGGCGTCAAGACCCACTACCAGAACGTCCATCTCAAGCTGATGCACCGCTGCAGCGTGGACGGCTGCAACGCGGCCTTCCCGTCGAAGCGCTCCCGCGACCGCCACTCGGCGAATCTCAATCTCCACCGGAAGCTCTTGTCGACCTCGTCGAGCCCGCCGCTCTCGTCCAGCCTGCCGTCGAGCCTGTCGCCGCGCATCGACGACCCGCAGATGAACCCGCTGCTGCACAACGAGTTCCTGGCAAGACTCTACGCGGACGCTGGGATTGGCGCGCTGGGTACTTACCCCTTGGCTTGCCAACCTGGCTTGCCGACAGCGGTGGACTTGGCGGCGAGGATACCACCACCGCATCCGCTATTGTTACCGCCGCATCTCGGTGCCACGTTCCCGGGTCTCACGTCGTTCGCTTCTCACTTGGCCGGCTTGAACGGTTTCGCCCACCAGCACCTCAATCACCTGACGAAACTCAGCCAGGAGCAGAGCAGCAGGCACCAAGCGTCCATCTCGGGTTCGCCCGTGTCTTCGCCAGGCTCGGACGACCGCAAGCTGGAGGAGGCTCGTTGCACCATACCCGGTTGCGAGCGCGTTTTCGGCTCCAGAGCAGTGCGGGACGCGCATTCCAGGGACCCACAGGCTCACCGCGACCTGCCGATCCTATCCAGCAGCAGCGGCTCGTGACCGATCTCTTCGTTCTGCGGCCGCGGACACGACTATTATCCCCTACTGTGATGCCAAAATCCTAAACGGCGCGACGGTCGCCGATGATCTCGCACATTTCATCAGGCTCGGCGGGCCAGGACGGCGGCGGTCCTCGTGAACGCGCGGGAGGCAGCCCCCCGGTGCAGCTACACGAGACGTTCGACGGACTGCTGCGTGTGTCGAAGGAGGAGAAGAGAGAAGCAAGAGGAATAAGAACAGGAAGAAACGTGCAATATCTCGAGCGGAGTGCGCGCGCTACGATCATCTATCATCCGCGTGACGAGCGCGACTCCCGAGAGTGTGTGGTTCCACGTGTAATCCGAGGTCGCCCGTGGAACGCCCGCCCGTGGAACAGCAAGCCAGCTCCAGTGTGGTAATATCATCCCCGCCTGCCAGTTCTTTCCATTTCTCGCATTCATTCGTCAGGAATCGCAAGCCGCGACTCGTTGGGCTAATCTAGTCAATTTGGAAATCTCGGTTCGCGCGCTGTCGGCAGCGAAGGCGGATAGAGTCGCGCGCGTTCAGTCGCGTTCGCTCACGACGCGGTGCGACGCACGTGCGACGCGAAAACACCGGGCTACGTCGAGGGGAGTCCACGCGACGGGAACGCAATTCGCCGAGAGTTCGAAGGGGAGGGAGAGGGGGGAGAGAGGGGGAGAGAGAGAGAGAGAGAGAGAGAGAGAGAGAGAGAGAGAGCGATGGAGAATCGGACGCCCGATTTTCCAGATTAATCGTGAACCGAGCACGATGCGACGCGCGGACGTATATCCGCGGCATCATTTCCTTCGTATCATTATGAGCTATCACATTACGACACTGGCTGGCGTCAAAATCAGGACCCGACTGGTCGACTAAACTGCCCGATCTCGAAGATCTCCACGTTCGCATGGTGCGTGCGCGCGATCGTATTTTTTTTTCCTTTCTCACGGGCGCGAGAATACGGCGAGCTCAAGTGTTCCGTCGTCTCGTCCGGCTAGTTTCCCCTCGCTCGCCAATCGCGACGGTCGCGTGTTGTCTCGCCTTCTGTCTCGTCACCGAGACAACGATATTCGACGTATAATCAAGGATGGAGGAAAGGTTGACGGAGAGTGAGAAAGAGGGGGAGAGAGAGAGAGAGAGAGAGAGACAGAGAGAGTGCGAGGGAAGGACGAGCGACGAAAAGGAGAGCGGGCCGAGGCGCGACATCCCGGTCCTAGGAAGAACTAAATTTCATCATCGTTGTGATAACGTAACGTTAGCGAATAAACGCCACTATTTAACCAGTAACCAGTTACTACCGCTGTATATAATAAACACACATAGTACCTTTCAATGTAAACGCGTAATTATATCGAGTAAGCTCTCCACCAGCGCGTCCGACACGCGATGACGTGTAACGGCGATTAGTTTTGTAAAACGACAGGAAGTGGGAGGAGGGGTAGAGAGAAGGATGAGATGAGAAGAAGAAGGAGGAGGAAGAGGGGGAGGCTCTCCCCGGTGTGTTTCAGCCGGGTTGAGAAGAGCGATGTGCGTCACGTCGCGACGACGGCAGCTAGAAAGAAATGCAATCTTAGTTTAAGGGGGGTGGGAAGAACACCCCCGACAGCTCGGCAAGGCTGAAGGGAGAGTGACGGTCGGGCGATCGGGGTATGGATAGACGAGCGGCGAACAAGTGGATCGAACAGCGAATCAAAGCGACGGCGTCTCGCGCTAGATAAATGAGAATAGATAGATTTTATTTATTGTTTCCTAGAGAGAGAGAGAGAGAGAGAGAGAGAGAGTGAGAGAGAGAGAGAGAGAGAGAGAGAGAGAGAGAGAGAGAGAGAGAGAGAGAGAGAGAGAGAGAGAGAGAGAGAGAGAGAGAGAGAGGAACCTTACACACGACACTCGCGTGTACATGTACATAGACACACACACGTAAACATATAACATGCATACGACAAACCTCTGATACGCACACGTGACAACAGATACATCATACCGGAGCGGCCAGTAGCGGGTGCTGCCGCGAGTAACTTCCTCCTTTAGACTTGTAAAATCGCGTTGTCGTTTTCACGTGGAATAAATAAATTGGCGTCGGGGCCGGGCCCTCCCGTGCGAATCATGTTCCCCCGAACAAGGCGATCGGAACGGGAGCACCTCCCGCGATTTTGGTTGTATATATACTTTATTTTCGTATATCTACGTATATATATATATAAATAAATATATATATAAATATATAAATATATAAATATAAATAAAGAAAAATAAAATTGGTCAGTGCGCGCCCGGATATCCTTCGGGAAAATACGCACGTATACGCGCGCGACGTGTTACGTGTACATGCGAACGGAGAGACGAGGAGACGCGTTTTTCTATGAGCCTTCGATCCTTACGTTTTGCATTTCCGTCTACCGCGAGAGCGAGCGAAAAGTTCCCCCTTCTCCCATTCGCGACACACACGACGAACCCACTACTACTACGCATTAAGGGCGAACGAGATTTACAATTGTAATTATGTATAAACCGAATGCTACGATGTATATTATAGATCGATTATAAAGAACACTCATCATTATGAAAATAATAAATACCTATCAAAACAAATTGCAGCTCTCCTCTCTTTAGCGGACGCGTCGTCCTTCTCCTTCCCTCCCCCTTCCTCTCCGCCTCTCCGTGTCGAGGGGACAGCGTGGTAATTAGCGAGATAACTCGGCTGCACGGCACGGGCACGCTCGGCGAGGTCACTGTTAATCTGTGTAAAAAGAGAAACAATAAGTCCGACGTCTTGATTAAAAATTACGGCGCTCGGGTAGACAGTGTTTTGATAAATAACGTGACTGTGTGTTGACCGATCGAGATTTATTAAAGGCCGGCCAGCGCGGACCCTCGTCCTGTTCGTGCCTTCGGAACGTCGACACGAACGGATACATCCGCGCGCGCAAAAATGAAAGAACCTCACCACGCCCACGCTGTAACGCGGGTCGACCTCGTTTTCGCGGAAAGAAGATCCTTCGTTCGCCCAGCGACGTCCGCCGGATCGTTTATCAGGGGATCTCGCGGGCGTGCACCGTGCACGCCTACTAATCCGCGGGCCTCGAAAGGATCTCCACGGCGGAAGGATTGTACCTCGGTCTGGACGCTGAAGAATCACACTCGCGATACAAGAGGGAGAATACGAGTTTCACGGGCGTTACGGCCGGACGTTTAGCCCGCGCGATTGTTTTCGCGTTTCAGCCAAATGGTAAATGGCAAATCTTTCGGCACGAGCCGAAAAACGTACGGAGTGAATTTTTAATAGAGTCGACAGATGAGACTTACGCTTTGTACTTGGTTTTAATTAAATAATTGCCTCGTTGTTACAAATCGTGACGCCTTAATTAATTTTGGGAATAATTTGAGATTTCGTTTATGATTATCATATACAATCATAAACAAGATCATTAAACTTTTACGTATGTATTTTACACCGACGAGCAAAGTAATTATCTATTTCACAAAAAATGTATATATATATATATATATATATATATATATATTGAAAATAGCGCTTGAGTATGCGTCAAACAAACATTTCATAATTTTCCTTGAAACGACTGAAGTAGTTACTCGGACGTTTACGGACGTGGGGTGCAGGTGCTCTGCCACTGTCTCACCTCGTAGCACGTGAATTATACATAAACGTGCGCGACACGCTGAATATTCAAAAGAGCACGTCGCAAATTATTAACAGTCATCATTATTATTTAGTCGTCGAATCGTTAAACAGCGACAGCCGAGAGATGGCTCGCCGATAAAAATCCATCGCGTCGCCGCGCTAATTCTCCTCGCGAAACGACGGCGGTGACTGACACCGCCGTCAGGCGGGCCACGGTAATTAGAAGTGTCCCGTGTGCGGGTCCACTCGAGCGAGACGCATAATTACACGTAAGTCGAGCGAGGCCCCTCGTCCTCGTCCGGAGCGAGGAGGCGTTGCGAGAATACTCGGACCGCCACCCCGTGGCCCCCTGCTACCCCCCCTCCCCTTCCCCGGCTCAGACTCCGGCCTTTAATCGGCCCGGGCAGATTAGATTAGGACCTCCGATTCTCGCGCTAACTCACGGTCCCGACCGGGCTAATAACGGGTGCACGCGAAATCGAGAGCTCCGACAGTCGCTGGCGACTCTCACGAGGTTGCGTCCTCCGAGCAACGCCGCGCCTATCAGCTGCCTACGATCTCTTATGTTTATGCACAAGGTAAATTCGCGGAGGCCATTGCGGATAACAATGCACCGACTCGTCCAATTCTCGATGTCTCCCATGCGATCTCGAGTCGCATCAGCAGAGAGAAGAATCTATCTCTTTCGAAAACCCCTCCCACGTGTTTTCTTCCTTTCAAGTCCCAGGCGAAACTTGCTCGCTGTGTCTCTGCGAATCAACCACCATCTCCCTCTGTCCGCCTCTCCTCTCTTCTCGTCCTTCTTGTCTTTTTTCTTACTCCTCCTCCTCTTCCTCCTCCTTTCTCTCCTTCCCTCCCTGCCTCCTTCTATCTATCACTCTCTCTCTCTCTCTCTCTCTCCCCCCCCTCTCTCTCTCTCTCTCTCTCTCCCGTTTGTAAACGTGTATACGCGAGATAAATGGATTTAGCGTGGCTTCGACCTTACCGAGTACGTGCGCTCGCCCGGCTAGAGCTTTATTCTACCACCTCTCTCGACGCTCTCGTGCGCACGACAGGTGCAGCGTGGGAGAACGAGGGTGGGAAGGTGGAGGTAGGTGCACGCTTCGTAGGGAGCTCGCCACGAGGAGGGCGGCAGTGAGAGGCGGGGGAGACCAGGAGACAGGGAGAAGGAAGGTAAAAAGGAGAAAACGACGGAGAGAGAAGGCGGTCTCCCGGTTAACGTCGGCTCGCCCATCGATACCCCCCGCGCAACCCTGGTCCATCGCGTCCAACAACGCCGGGGCCTCACCGTTGCTCTCGCGCGGTCACTTTGGACCGGATGGATCACGACCGGCGACGACGAAATGCGCGATGATTCTGCTGGTATTGCCGATGCGACAGATATGAGGATTGAGACGACCGAGAACCTGCCGTACGCGAATTTCGCGTGAAACTATTCGATTCGGTGTGAACAAGAGGAGTAATTTTTTTTTAGCGGAATACAGCAGCAGTCGAGGTCTCCGGATATCTCGATATATTTCTCGACATTGCCATCGATCGTCGCGGTTGCTCGGAAATTCTTATCACCTGCTGAACGCACGACTGACGTTTTCAACAATGACATCGCCTCTCGTTTTCTCCGACTTATCCCGAGAACCGAGAAACACACATTATCGCATCTGCGCCTTTTGACTAATGCAACTGTTTTCGCGCGTATCTTTTCTCTCCGTTGCGATCTCGGGAGGGATCCCGGATGAATATTCAGCGTAGGAGGATCACCTAAGATAATTTTAAAACTTGTCGATTTTACGTAACCTGAAGCGTAAAATTTGTAAATATAAAAAAGAGAACGTTGAGAAATAAAAGACCGCGGGAGAGCACCTCTCTCTATCCCTCTCCTCTCTGCCTCGGCCCCTCCAGAATTTTCCCTAAGGTAAGATCGACTCTAATTTTACTTTCTTTGGTGCATCTGTAATGAAGATGAAAATATGGAAATCAGATGCGCAACGTGGCGTGTTAAATTCTAACACGGCTGATTAAGCAATAACTACGGTCAAGTCTTTCA